ATATTAATTAGAAAATCTAATTTTGTCTGTAATTAATTGGAATTTATCTATAACTAAGTTATACATGGTCCAATGAGTACGAAATTTTTACTATAGTTTAAGCATATAATAATTAACCTACCATAAAAATTTCACCATAATTGGACCATAGAAGCTGCAGCTATGAATTATTCTAATTAATTACAGACAAAATTGGATTTTCCAATTAATCTAAAGCTATAACAAAAACTTTGTACTAAAGCATACTATATTATATGTTCACTGTGTAGATCTACTCATGTGGAGTCCAACAAAATTAGATTTTCCATTTTATGATTTTCTGTGATTTACTATGATTTTTCAAAGATTCAGCGGAAATAAGGAAAAAGACAAAACCCTTGCCACTGTAGCAAACCCGCCGTTACTGTAGCAAAACCGCCGCTGAAAACCGTCTGGGGGTAAAATAGACGGTTTTGAAAAGTTCAGGGGGTAAATCAGACCGTTTCATAGTTGATGGGGTTATGTAGACCACCCCTATAGTTGGGGGGTGGAGTAGACTTTTTTCATAGGTTTAATACAATTTGTATGCATCGATCTCGCTTTCCGTTTCTATTTTTTTTACCCACCTCGATCCATATATGGACTGATCATGGACACATACTGTACACACGCCTTGTATATGTTGTATGCATATATAGATTCCTGCTCTCTCCTTGCATTTTAGTGCATCTCAATTCTAAGCGTACAATGCTCCGAAACACCAGGCATATATGTATACTTTTGTAATTTTGTGAAGAAATAATATATCGAGCTTCCTCAATATGGTAATTATGTGCCGAGGCATGTTCAAGAGAAAAAATCAAGAATATACTGGCGATGAAAGTAATTGATCATATGGTAAAAGGTCGCGTATATATTCCAAATTAAAGACTCCTCACTGGTGGATCATTGTCAGCACTAACTACACACTACTACAAAAATAGTTTTACCAATGCCATTCACTATGTTAGATTCACATATTGACACATCTAGACAGTCATTAGAGACACGAAAAAAATGCGTCACTTATATTACGTCTCTGATGTGAAAAGATCATTGACGCGTAAAAACGTGTGACTGATGACCATTCATCAGGGACATGTTTAGCCAAAATGCATCATTGATTAGCCTTCATCAAAGATGCCATGGCGAGCGCCTCCCCTCCCCACCCGTGGCTAGCTCTTCACCTACGAACTGTGGTCGGTCCTGGCTCTTCTCCCTCCTCCATGCTCATTTTCCCTCTCGCACGTCCACAACCACTAGAGCTCCTATTCTCCTTCTCGCTCATGTCTGTCCTAGGTGGGACGAGTTAGTCCGCTTGTTTCTAGGGGACGAGTTCGCCCCGCATATCGTGCGAATATTCCCAAAGTGGGATGACTCTGCCCCCTTGATCTCCGAACCAAACACCATAGAATTGTCCTCTCATCCCACCTTATCCTTAGAACCAAACATTTTATAAAGTCGCACGCTATGGATCAAGTTCCTCCTGTCCAATGGATGACCTTTCATTTTCCACATTATTAGGAAATAATATTCCTCCTCTGTGTTTATTTAAACCCGGATTGTCCTTATATTTTTGCAACTAACACCACTCTTTTTTATTGGTGGCTAAAGCTAGAACTCTTCCATTATCTAAAAAGTTCTAGCAAGCTAGCTCTCTCATTTTTAAACTGTATATAGTGATTTAATTTCCGATACCATATACTATGCATGTAAGATGTGTCTTTTGTGAACTACTACCTCTATCAAAAAACATTGCAATTCTAGATGCATTCTTAGTTAAAGTAGTAAAAATATTAGTGTTTATAACATCAAATAAATATATTATAAAAATATATTTTATGATAAATTTAATAATATTTATTTGATAACATAACTATTTACGTTTTTTATATATAGTTAGTCAAATTTAAGATACTTTAGTTTAGTAGTACTATGTTAAAATTATATTCTTTTTCTAAAAGGAGAGAGAGCAGTAATGACAGATTGACAGGTACTTCCCACCGGCCACTATTCTCTATTCCATTTTCAGGAGAGAGTAGTAGCTTTACCCAACCTTCAAGCTATTCTTTACGACGGGTGTCTGATCCAACTTTTTGGATTGGGTAGCTATTACGGTGTAGATAGTACAACAATTTGAGCCTTTGACCGAATCATCATTTGATTTTTTTTTATGTTGGATGTCATCCATAAGTTTCTTTGTTTTGAGTTACATTGCGTGTTACGTGACAGACTGACAGATAATCGATTAGGTTTTTTACTTGAGAACCGATTCATCGTCAGCTTTTTTGTCTCTTGATCGCTGGTACAACTTTTCCTGGTTGTTGACGTCATGAAGTACTAGTTACTGCACCATTTTGGCATTTTGTAAGCATTCAGAATTTCAGGTAGCGGGCCACGGTCAATTTGCTGTGCTCGTGTGAGTCACGAGTCATGAGTACTACATGCATGTCAGCATGCATGTCCACTGCAGCCACAGCACGGCCGGGCCACCGCTTGGGAAAGTAGGGGTTGCAAAGACCGTACATGCTTCAGCTCGATCGGGCCCTTGTCAACGACTTGTAACTCTAGCCCATTAATTGTCATCGATGCAGCATCGATCTGATGACATTGACACGCGTCTCAATCATCAGGGTGTTGAACACAGTGATCACGGTTGCAAAGCAATTGCACTTGCACTTGCTGATATTGCAGTGGAGCAACCGAGCTAGCTAGCTAGGTTCTGCTTTTACAAAGTGTAACGGTGACTGTGTTTAATCTGTTCACAGAGACAGAGGGATACTCACGGCGATCACAGAAACATTATTATTTGATCGAGAGAACATACATGCATGATCCGCAGGATGAACAGAGACTAATTGACATTGTTGTCAGACGGCAGGCGAGGCACCGCGCGCCGGGCCGCGGCCACCTCGTCCGTGGTGCTGGTGCGGCGCACGAGCCGGTCGCGGTCGGTCCCCGACCCGACGCCCACGCCTTCCTGGGCCGGGACCCCAGCAGCCTTGCTGGAGACCACACGTGGAGGGCTGGAGGCCGTGCGCGCCCGCCGTGAGTGGATTCCAGGCATTTGCAGACTCCTTCCAGTTCTCACTCCGAGTGCGAGGTGGCCACGCGCAGGACTGCAGGAGGGTGCCAAGCGCCGTCCCCGCCAGCTGCGCCCACAGCTCCTTGCACGGGAAGCCTCCGGAAGGAATTCACCGTCCGTTTCGTTCGTCTCGCTCCCCTGTTTCAGCCACGGCCGGTCGGTCGTTTTACAATTTCACCTGTACCGAGACGAGGTAAGTTGGAAAAAGTAAATATCTGTCAGCACCACACGCCAGTCTGTCCGCCGTAAGCATCTCTGGACTAACTGCGTGCTATCGTCCAGACGTCCGGATAGACACGCGCACCTAATGCCCTGCGCAATCTGCCCCTATTTGCTAATTCGTCTCGCCCTGCACGTGCACCCTTGCCCCCGCCGTTGCGCCCGCATGTCCAAACGACTCACCTCGCACGTGCAGTCCGCCCTGTCCGCCTCAATTCGACCCGCGCCCAATCCGTCTGTTGGCCGTTCGCCCCAACCGCCAGCCCCCAGCGACGCTGCGCACCACGTCCGCCGGCCCCCCAACTCGCCATGCCCCATTCCTCGGTGCCCGTGCCGTGCCACCCTCACTCCCTACGCCCCCTGACTCTTCGAACAATATGAAACACGTGCAACATGAAACACTTGAGTACGACATACGTCTGAAACAGATGAAACATCTGCAACATACACTTGCAACATATGCGAAAAACATATGCAACACTCAGATAAACACTTGCAACGTAAAAACACTTGCTGCAACATAAGACTGAAACAGACGAAATATTTGGAACATACTATTGGAACATATGTATAAAACATATGCAACATCCAGATCAAAATGGTTGCAACATATGTCTGGAACAGACAAAACATTTTGAACAAATGCTTGCAACATGCCTCTGAAACACTTGCAACATATGCATCATGTGCAACATCCCTTATCTACTTTTGCAACACCCATACGAAACAATTGCAACGTACCTCTGAAACGTCTAAAACACATGAAACAATACAGCTGCAACATATGGGAGGGGGGACCTGGGCAGGTCGATACTGGTCGTCGGGATGGGAGCCGGCAGCGAGCGACAACGCTCGTGAGTGCCCTTCGCTCGATCGGGGATGACCTGAGGCGCCCCAGCACGTGCGCCCAGCGACCACGGCAGGGCGGCTGTGGCGAGGCATCCCAACGATGTTGGGGGTTGAGGAAGAGGCCAAGGAGACGCCATGCTGTCAGTAGATGCGAGATAGAGAGCGAGAAATGGGGGCGTGGCAAGGGATGGCCACGGGGGTCGGGTGGCACGATGCGCGGGTCGAATCCGCATGGGCTGGGTGCGCGGCGGGAGGAGCAAGTGTCTTGGGCGAGGCGCGCGTCGCAGACGGGAGCGAGCAGCAGCGTGGCCGGAAGTGGCGAAGCGGAGTGAGGCGTGCGGCGTCCGGATGGGGCGGACACCCGTGGCCAAGCATTATTGCAGAACTAAGCATCATCGACAAGTTCCATTTAACTGTCCATTGGTTACTGGTTAGTGAACAACTTAACAAGGATTCAATTGTTGGTATGCTGTGCACACACGACATATAGGCATTGATCCTAGCTGGCAACTAAATAGCCTCCCGTTCCTGCAATTCTTCATACACAGCAGCCCTGGCAACTGGCAAATAACATTCACCCTAGATCACCTGAAAACTACATGCCATTGTGCATCGCAACAGTAGAAGTAGAACTAAACTCAAATCAGATCAACGGAACACGCAATGGACATGATGGACCATTCATTCATCATTCAAGAATTACCAAATCGCAACAAAACAGGCACGTTCGTTTCATCATTCCAAGGATCCCAAGAATTACTAAACTCAAGCAGCCGATCGGGTGACGAATCAAACAACCGAGCCCTGCGAATTCGGGAGACCGGAGACCTCACTTGACGCCGCCGATGAAGCCGAACGCCGCCTCGCGCGCGTCGTCGGTCTCCGTGGCGAGGTCCATCGCCTCCGGCAGCGCTTCGGCGAGCGCCATGGCACCGCTGAACTGCTCGCAGAAGCACGGGCTCTGCTCCCACGGCGCGGTGTTGCCGTCGCCGTCGCCGTCGCCGCCACCGTCGCTGGTGGCCTCGTCCAGGAACCCCAGGAGCTCGGCAGCGCGCAGGTGGCCGCGGGCGCGCTCCACGCCGTCGTGCACGCGGGTGGCGAGCGCGGCGGCGTTCCCGAGCTTCTCCAGCGCGCACCACACGCCGGGGTCGTCCCCCGCGAGGTCGTCAACGGAGTCGAGCGGCGCGCTCGGGCACGGCGCGCCGCCGCGGAGCGCCAGGTGGCGGGCCGCGCCCATGCTGGCGACGGCGAGGCCGAGATCCATCGAGGCGCCCTCGAGCGCGCGCTGCCCCTGGTGGCGGCGCCTGTTCTGCACGTCGGCGTCCACAGCCTCGAGCACCCCGAGGAGCTGCTCGTGGACGCTGTGGCAGTGCTTGGCCGCCATCACCACCCGCCTCTGGAACAGGGCCTTCCAAGTGGACTCCACTTCTTCCATTTCCATCTCCTATCTCTTGCTCCCGGGAGCGGTTTAAATAGCCGCAACACGCACCGCCTCACGCCGGTAATGGCGAGCCCACCGCCTTGTTGGGTTCCACACCTGAGATCTCTATGGCCCTCAATGCCAAGTGGGACCAAAACCGTCGGTCCCTCATTCCCATGGGAAGGCGGTCCAAACCGTGGGTCCCGCATTCCGACGCAAGGACCAAGGAGCAGTTAAAATGCCGGTGGTGGCGGCTTGTTCGGCTGGCCAGATCTTTCACGAAATCACTGTTTATGTAAACTGTAATTTTTAAACAAAACAATATTTTTTTATTGAAATAGTATTTTAATTTATTTTCAGTCCTGCCGAGCCGTTTCCATTGCCTGGCCAGCATATATATACGCCGCCGCCGCCCCCGCCGCATTCTCTTGTCTGTCCATTGCACACGCACGCGCTCAATGGCAACGGAGGAGCGGCGGTTGATGGATCTGGCACGGACGGTGCCGGCGATCCTCCTGCTCGTCGGCACCTCGGGAAAGGCCGTCGCGAGCATCAAGTGCGCCCGCGAGCTGTTCGCCGGGAAGAAGTGGGGGTTCGATGACTCCGACGACCCCGAGTCTCCGCCCCCGAACGCCAACCGAGGCGGGAACGGCAGCGGCGGCGGCGAACCCGTGGAGACGACCACCGGAGGAGGCGATCACGGCGGCAGCGGCGTACCCTCGAAGACCACCTGCGGCAGCCAGGCCCAGGCGATCCTCCCATGTGGGGTCTCCGTGGACAGCGGCGGCTACTGGGCCGACGTCCTCGCCAGCGCGCTGCCCCCCGGAGAGGGCCACCTGCCCGTCGCCTACCGTGAGATCACGCGCCTCATCTCGCTCCACGCCGAGGCCGGCCACGTCTTCGTCAACTGCGCCGCGCGCCTCGGCCTCCAGCCCGACGACGACGAAGACAACGGCGGCGGTGGCGGCGCGCGCACCGGCCTCCAGCCCCACCGCGCCGCGCCGTGGAAGCGGTGGATGGACCTCCGGGAGGCGGCCGTCTGCCACGCCCACGACGCGCTTCTGGCGCTGAGCTCCGCCGCGGCGGCAGCCACGGCGGCCGAGGACTTCCTCCGGTGGCGGTCCGCCGAGTCCCCGCGCCGGGAAGGGTGGCGGTCGGCGGCGCGGCAGCTCGTGAAAGACGCCAGGCGCAGCCTCGGCGACGCCAAGGACGCGGCGAGGCTGATGCGCGACGCCGTGCTCTGCGAGTTCTTCGTCACCTGGATGATTCTGACACGCGCTTAAACTGAAGGCGCATGGATTGCTAATGGCGTCGGCCCTGCCTCCTTTTGCTTCTTATTACTCCAATACTTTGCTCCAATTTCATTCGATTTTTGTGTGTATATATGAATATGTGGTTCATTGCTGGAACAAATGAAAATGGCCAGATCTGCCTATGTCGATAAGATTTGTAATGGTCCGTGTGGAAACTGCCACAACCTGCAATGGAAACTGCCACAATTTCATTCGCTACATCACCTTAGTTGTTCTAGTCTCCTAGCAATGGTAAAAGTAACAACAGAGTGCCTGAACTGAAGACATGCATGATCCATCAGGCATTCTGTAGCTTGGAAACTGCCACAGTTTACCCCTGCCTCGTATGCCAACTTTGCTCTTGTTGGAGAAGTGTTTATACTGTTCTGTACATTAATCGTAGGTGATCCCTCTTTTTTTTTTCATAAGATGCAACATGTTGTTCACCGACAATATGTTGACTTCTGATAGTTGACATTCTACTAGTATTTGTCAAAAGCAGTCGTGTCAGCCACAAACCCGTCTGTAGTCAACCGTTTCAGTACCAAGGTTCCTCACCTTGAGACGATTATATATATATATATATATATATATATATATATATATATATATAACCACAAGCATTTCATCTCCACTCAGACAAATTTAATCCGAATTCCTGCTTCGACCTTCCGTTCCTCCTTGCTTCGACCTTCTGTTCCTCCTGCACCATCTCTGTGGACACACTAGCTTGCTAGCTGCTGGAGATGGAGCCAGCAGGGAGGTCCAAGAAGAGGGCGCATCCATGGATCAACGCCAGCGTGCACTTCCTGCTCTGCTTCGCAGTTGGCGCTCTCGTTGCACTCGCGCCGCTGGCCGCCAGCATCCGTTCCCCGTTTCTCGGCCCGTTCGGCGACGCTCACCGAGCTGTGGCCGCGCCGCCGCCTGCGGCCCCCGACCTCGGCCTCCTCCTGATCGTCACCGTCACGCAGCCCGACGACGGCATGGCGCAGGACGCGTCGGTGGCGAGGCTCGCGCACACGCTGCGGCACGTGGCGCCGCCACTGCTGTGGATCGTGGTCGGGGCCAGGAACAGAACCGCGACGGCGAGGACGGTACAGTTGCTGCGTGGCACCGGACTCATGTTCCGGCACCTCACCTACGATGCCACGAACTTCACCGGCGGCGATGCCGGCGATGAGGCGGACCACCAGAGGAACGTGGCTCTCAGCCACATCGAGCGCCATCGGCTGAACGGCGTCGTCCATTTCGCCGGCGCTTCCGGCGTCTATGACCTCCGCTTCTTTCAAATGCTCAGGCAAACTCGGTATGTCTTATCACGCCTCTCTTGCAGTTTTGCGTTTGCAACCTGCCTCCCTTATTCGTGCTAGTTTCTTATGAAATTTTTCGAAAAGAATGGAGTAGTTCTTATAGCAGTACTGGCTATACAATTTTTTCAGAATGCAGCAAGCAAAATAACACTGGTTGTCTGAATTCTTGATCCAGAGGTATTTCAGCTTGGCCAGTAGCAACTCTCTCACCAGCGGACCAGAAGGTGACATTAGAAGGACCAACATGCAACTCATCACAAATCACAGGCTGGTACTCAAAGGATTCAAGCACTAATAGAACACAGGGAATCTCCAACTCCATGGTTGCAGCAGATACCAATACCACCGCAAACAAGAACTCCAGCTCTGACTATCCCATAGTAAACATCTCTGGAATTGGGTTCAGGAGCTCACTGCTTTGGAATTCAGAAGGATCACTCATAAGGGGAAACTCATCAGCTGGAGCAACACAGGTTTGTCATTTCAACCCAATATAATAGGATTACACCGGTTGCAATTGCAACTCAAAGCCAACATATACCAAAAATAATCAACCTGATGATGGTTTTGGCAATTTCAGGATTTCATCCAGTTAGTACGAGAAATAGTGATCCTAGACGGAAACAAGCTTAAGGGCGTTCCCTCTGAATGCTTCGAGTCCCAGGTAATGTTGTGGCACATGGACATGCCAATATTTACTCTAAACACTGAAGAAGAAAAGGAGATTGAACAGCAGCAGAATCCTAAAGAAGAAAAGGAGATTGAACAGCAGCAGAATCTAATGAAGAGTGATGAAGATCCCACGACATGAGACTTAGTTGTGGAAGAAACATGTTGCGATGTAACCTCCATCATGTACATCAGTTACTTTATAGAAGCAGGCACAGTTGAGAGCATTATTAAACACGGAATAACTACTTCACAGAAGATCCAATATTCTTTGTCCAGAAATTTTCATAACACCAAGATTGCTGTCTATATTCCAATGCTAAATCTGGAGGTACAAAATTTTCCTTCTAGTGGAGAACACATTCTTCATTCTCCAATCAAAAGGCCGACCCACCTCCTTTTGTTTTCCCTGACAACACATCCTTCGCCTCGTTAATCTTTGAAGCAAGGTAATGACTTCCACCCGCATCTGGATGGTTGGCAACCATGACCCTCTTGCGCGCCTCTTTTACCTTCTCTGCATTGGCAGTTTCCCTGGAAACATCAACGAAAACAGAAGGTCGCTTAATGGAGGCAGAGAACATCACTAAATTATAAGCTAAGCATGAAAAATTGTTGAATCACAAGGCTGTGACACTTCTAAAAATTCAAGAGTGACTGACCAGACTAGGACAGATGCAATTTTGAAGATTTAATTCAGTATGTTGGTACGAAGGACAGCTGATTGAACATCTGAAATCTTTCATACATATTTGAAAAATAAAGGCATAGCATTTATTTTTTGGAAAAAGTAAAAAATGGACAAAAAAAATATTGCAGGGAGAGACTGAATTTTCTGGAGAGTATTTGACTCAGGGCTACATTTAATCATTTTAGAAATGGGAACTTATGGAATAACAACAATGTAGTTACTCTAAAGCTATGTATTACCAACACTGCACACTTGTTTGCACTACAACCGACGACAAGAGGGGCAGTTCTACTATTTGATACTCAGACAGTTACCTGGTATGACACGAATGTCCAATCTTGGATCTGTGTTATCTGGTCTCTAAAATAGTAAAATGTGATAAACAAGGGGAAAAGAGGAGCAGGTCTACTGTTTGATAAAGGGCGTACCTAGTGCAGAGAGCTCCCGCTCTGTGCGGGGTCTGGGGAAGGGTGTCAGTGGCAAGCCTTACCCTCGCTTGTGCAACGCGAGGAGACCGCGACTCGAACCCGGGACCTTCCGGTCACAGACGGTAAGACTCTACCGCTCGCACCAGGCCCGAGCAGGTCTACTGTTTGATACTCAGACAATTACCTGGTACAACACGAATGTCCAATCTTGGATCTATTTGATCTCTAAAATGTGACTATGGGATTAGGGGTGGCAGCTGAGGTGATATAGGGGTGTTACATATATTCCATCCCAGTGTACCCGTGGGGTCATAAGATTTATGTGATTTGGTCTCTAAAATGTGGGGGCATTGTTTTATCCTCATATGGCATTAGGTTAAGAGTTAAGAGAAAGACCTTAACCTTAGATATATTCTCATCCACATACCACTGAGGTGTTACCTATCCTGTCTCACTCTGCAAGTTTGTTCCGTCACGTTACTCCTGCTCCTCTCATTATACAGCACTCCCTACATTCAAATTATAAGACGTTTTGGCTTGAAACATAGTTAAAGCAATGTATCTAGAAAAGCCAAAACGCCTTATAATTTGAAACAGAGGGAGTTAATGCTGCAGTGGCTGATCAAGCCCTCTACTCCATTACATAATCTAAGTGGCTGAATCTAGCATCTCAATTCATAGCCTTCAAATGATAGCTGTTGCATTTGTTTTAATAAAGCCCTGTTATATAGGAGTGAAATTCCCTTTGCCATTTTCGTAAGCTGTCTAGTTGGAAATTGTTGAAGCACACCAAAACAACTGAAACATATTTTTTATGTGTGCAATGGTAACTTGCAGCTAAAGATTCCGTGTACTGTGGTTCACACATTTATAATATATGCTGTCAACTTACACTGAAGTACTTATGTCAAATGACCTATTACGTGCATTTTACCCATGATTTGGGCAACAAGTCAGAGATAGCAGATAGCAAGATGCCAGACAGGTTCCAGGAAAGATCCTTGTGTTTATTTTCCTTATACACATCACTTGCTAGTTCTAAACCCCAAACAATTAGCTGCAGCCAGCTTAACATAATTCAAAAGAAACTGTATAATTGAGATTCATAGGCAAGATATAAATTATGGAAGTTTTATGTAAACAGAGACATAAACAATGATCGACTATGGCACATATATTATGTATACCTGACACCAAGGATTAATGCAGCTTCCCTTCGGTTCATCGTAGGTTGAAAACCACCTTCATAGAATCTGCGCATCCTTGGAACAATAGGCCTTGCCTTATAAGCTTGCCAAGCTTGGATGCCATATCTACCAGCAAGAGCAGTCGCTGCAACTGCAAGTCCTGCCATAAGTGGAGCAGCCTGCAGAAATTAATACAAATAAATACCAATATCTACAACTTTGTCTTATTACGGACCTGTTTGGCAGGGCTCCTCTCCGGCTCCGGCTCCGGCTCCTCCAGAGGAGCCCTGCCAAACATTTTCTTGGAAGAGCCGTTTTTCAGTAAAAAACAGAGGAGCCGGAGCCGTTTTGGAGGAGCCACAAATTGTGGCTCCTCCAAAACGGCTCCGGCTCCTCCGGAGGAGCCCCTCAGGAGGAGCCGTGCCAAACAGGTCTCCAAGCCTTTTTAGCAATATTGCACAGCCAACGAACTGAAGCACATATCATCCAAAATTCAGTAGAAAGATAAGAAAAAGAAAAAAAAACCTTTCTTTAGCCTGTAAGCAATTGAAATTCTGAGAGTTTTACTTGCTTGATCCCATTAGTAGTACAACTGTCCAGCAAACAGCACATTGGGGTTACCAAACACTTAGTCCAAAATACAAAAAACGTGCAAACTATTATTTCCCTCTTCAGTTCTATTCTTATTGGATCAGGATAACCAAACCTTCATGCAATATGTTGTTATGCTCATGATCGAAATAACAAGATGAGCACAAATGACGCATAGCATTACACACTATGTACTTATTATATAAAAAATGACGCACCGGAATTTTGCGTATTCGAAAATAATCAAAAGTAAACAAATCTGCAGAGCATCCAAAAATGAGCACAAATGGTGTGAAAATCACACAAACTTATGGACGCAGTTCCAATTTTTTATTAAACAAAGTTGTCCTACCATATGTCAAACACTATTTCAACCCCTTATACTAAAACAGGGAGGAAATTTCGAGTCTAATAGGCCATGAAATCCCAGAGATGCCTCATTCCTTACTCCTCCCAAGGATGGAACATTATTCCACCATAATTTCACGAAATCTAAGTATGCAGCCACAAACAACCCTATAAGGAGATGATTAGAGTAGAGGTCATGCTGGAGTTCTCCAGCGACACTACTTCCGTACAGCATCACCGTGCTTCTAAGAAACATTTAGAGGTCTCGACGGAAAAACCGGCCGGTGGGAAGGACCCCGTAATCCCCGCCGTTGGTCGCGTAACCCATTGGTTATACGGGGACGAACATGCGGGCAAGGTCGTCGGCAGATGAGGCAAGGAACAAAAAAAAAGACGAGGGAAAAGAGGGGCGCGAGTCATGTAAGGGAGAGGAAGAGCGTGTAGAGTGCAACGTACCATCTCAATCACCAACTAATCCGGCGAAGTGGGTAGAATTGCGACGAACTAGGGTTCCGGGGATCGCTAGAGCCTAGAGGCGCCGGAGCTAGGGTTCCGGTGATCGCCGCGAGGAAGAAATCGGCGTGACGGCGAGGGAGTAGGAAGTATGAATGCCTCGAAGGACCTGGAAGATGGAGACCGGAGAGATTGAGAGAACCCTAGTTGGGCTGGGCCTCCTGCCAAAGCGGCTAGTCCTCTCCCACAAAGAACAAATGGCACGGGCCCATTAGCCAGCTGCCCGACTGCCTCAAAGCGCTAGGAGAAAAACCGCTTTCCTTAGAAGAAGACGAATTCGCTGTCTTCCCCATCTCGTCGTCCTTCTCGCGTCTCTCTTAACAGCTGCCCGACGCGATCATCCGTCACCTCCATCCTCCCACGCGCTTCCTCCGCCCTATTTTAGGCTGCTTGCCACGCCACCGGCCACCGACATCCCGCCTCGCCAAGTCCCCTTTGTCCTTCCCCTCCCTCGCCTCGCGTTAGGTAGCTTTCTTCCGATCCGACCCCCACACCTCCCTCCGGCTCTCGCCATGGGCGCCGCCGCCAACAACCACGAGGAGGAGTCGAACCCCCTCATCCCAGCCGCCGTCGCCGCCGCCCCCGCGGACGAGAAGCCCCCGCAGGCTCCGGCGCCGGAGGCCGCCAAGTGCTATGCCGACGGGGTCCCGGTCGTCATGGGCGAGCCCGTGTTGGCCCACGCCTTTGGCGGCCTCCCGCGGGAGAGCTGGAACTCCGGGATCCTCTCCTGCCTCGGCCGCAACGACGAGTTCTGCAGCAGCGACGTCGAAGTGTGTACGTGGCCCTTGTCCTCGGAATCGGATACTCTTTGTTCGAGTCGTGCGTAATCTTTGCGGTAGAGATGTGCGTGGTTTCGCGTTTGGGGATCTCGAGGAGGAATAGGTGGTTGTATTACCACGATTTTGAGCTCGATTTGATCGGAAATGGCTGATTGTTCTGGAATGTTTCGGTAGTTTTCACTATGAGAGGCTTAGTCGGTGTTAGATTTGGTGTGCGACCGACAATTGTTAGAACTTCTGATCAGCTTTGTCTGAATTTTTGGCCAGATTCCGTAGCTAAATTGAATTTAGGATGGTGCGCTTAATCGAATTGGGTTGCCGCGAATTTCTGTCAATTTGAAGTGTCTCGCTTATTAATGTCAAGTATGAAATCATGGCACAACAAGGCCTGATAATATGAATTTGCTTACATATACATTCCATGATAATAGACAGATCTGAAGCCTTTTCTTGTTGAAATTGTCCTTTCTAGCTGGCAAATTGTTGTTGAAATTGTCCTTTCTAGCTGGCAAATTGTTTCTGTAAAGGTGCTATGACTACTAGACTCTGTATGATTCATTTTGGTATTCCCTCTTGTACAATCTTTTAGGAACTTGTAAAAAACTGCATGATATCTCTAACCTGAAATTCATTATTATCATAAAAGTAATAGCCCAAAAGCGGTCTAGACAAATTTCACATCTTAGCTCAAATTATTGATTTGTTCAGGGTGAGCTGAACTTTGTACAGAGCTATCGTATTTAACATGTACCAATTATGGGATGAACTAAATTTTATATTTAGACATTGCTGTCTTAAATGGCTTGTGCAATTAAAGGATGAGCTGAAGTTGTCTCTTGAAAGTGCTATTCTAACCAGCCAACAACAGCTGGTTTGCTCCTCTAAAAGTTGATGTAATAGTTGATTGATTGTGACTACTCTTGTTTGATCGATGTTGAAGGATTGACAGTTTCCCCTTCATCTACCTACCATTTAGTTTGTTACTTTGTTTCTTCTAGCTCTGTTTCATACTCTAGGAATTAGCTCTGTTTCATACTCTAGGATTGACAGTTTCCCCTTCATCTACCTCCCATTTAGTTTGTTACTTTGTTTTCTTATTGCTGTAGATTTGGTGAATAATAGTCATTTTTGTATGTGGACTATTCCCTGAAGGTTATCCACTAAATTGTTCACTTCCAGATTTTGGTACCATGTCTTACTAAATTCTTGGCCCTGATACAATGAATTAGCTGAGATCCAACACCCATTTTATTGATCGCAATTGTACTATATGTACAACAGCACATGATGCTCATATTCTGCTCCATAAAAGGCTAAAAGTGCATGATCTGGGAATAGGATGGAGCAGGTGTCTTTTTAACCATAGCATTATTGCAAACCGTTGCCGTGAATTGATGATTTCTGAAGTTATTCACTGAAATTATCAGTTGAACCTTGTACTTGCTTATACTATATAGTATACACACTTCACAAAATGCCAGCCTGTGAAATTCTGGGAGTGCGGATTATGCTTTTTCCTTGTACTTCCAATTTCACGGTGGATCTTGAATTACTTCTTTTTGTTAATTTGGGTTTTGAACCAAGAACTGATTACATATTATTTGGATGTATCAGGTCTTCTTGGAACAGTAGCACCATGTGTGCTCTATGGTAGTAATGTTGAGAGGCTTGCTGCTGGACAAGGCACATTTGCAAACAGCTGCTTGCCTTACACTGGCCTGTATATGCTTGGGAACTCTCTCTTTGGGTGGAACTGCCTTGCCCCATGGTTCTCTCATCCCACTCGTACTGCTATTCGACGACGCTACAATCTTGAGGCAAGTGTTTCTGTCTGCCCAGATTCTGTATGGTTTTCCATTTGTCAGTGTGTGTATCCATCTCCATTTGAAATTTGTTTGTAGTAGTACTTGAATTGAGACTATCATATTTTGAAACGGTTTGTATTGATCTTGAGTTTATATGCACCCTGATCGGCTGGGGCTGGCTGGCTGGGCTGGCTGGCCAGCCCCCTCACATGGATACTATTTATATGAACCAGCCAGCAGTATTTCTCTTTCACATAAACGAATCAGCAACGATACGAACCAGCCATCCGAACAGGCTGATGGATTTTCATCCTTTATCTCTGTTTGCATGTAGGACTTACTCTAGCTCTGTCTCAAAGTAATATTATGACACGGTTCTTTGAATCCTTCCCTGTTCAGGGTAACTTTGAGGCTTTCACCAGGCAATGTGGGTGCTGCGGCAGTCTGGTCGAGGACGAGGAGAGGCGTGAGCACCTAGAGGCTGTCTGTGACCTTGCTACCCACTACCTCTGCCACCCTTGCGCCCTCTGCCAGGAGGGACGTGAGCTGCGCCGCAGGGTTCCCCACCCTGGATTCAACAATGGACACTCCGTCTTTGTCATGATGCCACCCATGGAGCAGACCATGGGGCGTGGCATGTGAACTATTACAGTTCCTGCCCTACCCTAGTTCGATCTGTGCTTCCTGTGAGTTCTTGTCAGCTGCTGTTGGACTTTGATGTGTTGTTTGTTTGTCCGTAAATACGAGTTTGTGATATGAGATCATGTTGGGAACTTGGGATTGGGACAAATGGGTCCGTTTGCTCTCAACTGGTGTTTGGATTCTAAACTGTATTGTCACGTGTGTCACAGTGTTTGTTTGTGGTCCTTGGTACAACGTCCTGTTCGCTTGGCTTATAAGTCGTATTTTTTCAACCAACGAATAGTATTTTTCTCTCACAACAAATCAGCCAACGGTACTTTAAGTCATAACTCATCAGCCAAGCGAACAGGACAAATATATGTGGTGTTGTCAAAAAAGGAATGTGAAGTCCATACCATCGTACCTCAATTTTTTTTTCTCAGGTCTAAATGATGTTTAATAAGTCGGCTGATGCTGTTTTATCGTGAGAGAAAAACACTAGCTGATAAGCCAGGCGCACAGGCTTAACAGCACTGTATATCAAGTCCCATCTCCTCATTAAGGCCCCGTTCGGTTTACCCCATATTCGGTTTGTTCGGGTTTTTTTTTTCAACCGGAACAGTATTTTTCTCTCACAACAATTCAACTAGGACAGTGTTTTTCAGTTAGTTTCAGCCAAAATTCTAACAGCCGAACGGGCCTAACTGCATATAGCTGCTGGATTGCCAATGGGTACTAGTACATCCGTAGTAAATGAAGGAATGGGACATGAAGGATAAGTGGCAGCATGTACTCGTGCTACATGCAACCTGCATAGGTCAGCAACTTGCAACCGTTGAAATTAGCTGATGATGATTTAAACAAATCAGCATCAGCAGCGGCTAAATTTCAACGAAACGAACAAGGCGGTATGTCAGCAACTTGCAACCACGATGGGCAAGAGGGACTGTTTAGCAATTTGCAACTTGCAACCATGGTATGTCAGCTTCAAGAGTCTTGGAGTGCAAGCTGCTGGCATCGATGACGATGGTCGGTCGCAACATAAATGGCATATGGTGATATGGATGCCCAGAAAGCCACAAACATCGAACCACTACCACGCTCATCGGACGTCCAACAAAATAAAGCCTAGGTGGATACACAGGGAGACCGCGCGGCCTCATACTTTAGGTCTTTAGTTATGTTATCTACATGTGTCCATGAGTAGAAACTAAGATGAGGGATGAAATAGGAAATGGAACATTTTGTTAGCGGGGGTTATTTTTTATAGGTTTTTTCGTGTTTTGGTGAAAAATGAAATTGGGAACAGAACTGCAAATATGGAAGTGATAACCGGTCCTACTCTTTTTGTGATTTATCGTTTCTGGCCGAAAATTCCCGATGATATTATTATATAGTTTTTTTTCTAATTCCTGATGATATTATTATACAGTTTTTTTTTCTATATCCACACTCCTGCATACTTGTACAATTTGAACCTGACAGTTTACATGTGTATGTGAACTTGTATATGAATAGTAACATATGTTTGTTAGTTAAAAATGAACGAAACATATTTGAAGACTTGACTTATCATTTCTATGTACAGTATATAACATTTTTTCACTATGCATTATCTATTACCGCCCTGTTTGCTTCGCTGAAAAGACAAGATGAAAAGTATTGTTTGCTAATTTATTGTGAGAGAAAAATACTATTACTTCGCTGAAAAAGTACGGCTCATAAGACAAGCGTAATACTAGTGTGTATTCGTTCGGGCAATGTCATTTTCGATACCCCTTATGTGGAAATATGGAAATAAAAACAATTTAGATCTGCTCGCGAATGATGGCGAGAGGACTGTTCATGAATGTTCATGAACGTCATTCTACTGTGGGCCACCTTAAGTTCAACTAAAGGTCTGCCAGGAAATGACATTGACGATGCATGAATTGTCCATGATGCTCTCGTGAGGACATCCGGACGGACGGAGGAACGCATCTTCCCACTCGACGCCACTTCCCAGTGGCCCATGCGGGTCAATGTCCACACGTGCGTGCCTCCTCAATGGCCAGAGCACCCTCTGCACCACATGAAAGAACGGCGCGGGAAGCACGCTACACGCGCATGCGCGCCCCTGCCGCGCAGCCTGCGGGCCCCATGCTGACCTGCCACCGGGCGGCCCCATGCGCGCCAACGCATACAGGTACGGTGCTCACCCTTGCACAGTGCGTGCTCGCCATTCTCATGGGGTCCACGCGTAGTGCTCGCCCCTGCCCTCTGCTCGCCAGGTGTGCTCGTGGCCTCCCGCAGGTGCTCCCCAGGCCGCGAGCAGGTGCTCGATCAGGGGTGCTGCGGCCTCGTGTAGGTGCTCGCCTAGCAGCCTGTTCGGGAGGCCGTATTGTATCGTGGATTATTTACTGCTGGCTGGTTTGGTGTGAGAGAAAAACACTGTTCCCGGCTGGAAATTTACGATCGTTTACGAGCAAGCGAACAGGCTGAGGTCGCCGAGCAGGTGCTCGCCTAGGGCTGCGCAGTGCTCACCACTTTGCTGGCGCACCAGAGAGCTGCATGTGCCGCGCCAACCTCCGCGCAGACATCGAGCTCCTCGATGACGAGCAACCATTCTTCCAAGCAGCAATGTGACATCGCGCTAAAAAGCACATGTTGCAAGCGTGTGTTACAAGTGTTTCAGATGTTTCATCTGGGGTTGCATGTGTTTCATCTTGATGTTGCCAAAGTATATTGGGATGTTGCACGTGTTGCAATGGCTATACACGTATGTTGCAAGTCAATGTTCCAAATGTTTCAGCTGTTTTCAGAACTATGTTGCAAGTGTATGTTTAAAATGTCTGTTTCAAACGTATGTTGCAAGTGTTTTATCTGAATGTTGCACATGTTGCAAGTGGCTACACACATATGTTGCAAGTGTATGTTCCAAATGTTTCAGTTGTTTTCAGAACCATGTTACAAGTGTATGTTTATAATATTTTATCTGTTTCAAACGTATGTTGCTGATGTTAATCTGAATGTTGCATATGTCGCAGTGGCTACAAACATATGCTGCAAGCGTATGTTCCAAATGTTTCATCTGTTTTATACATATGTTGCAGTAAGTCCTTCATGTTGGAAGTGTTTCATGAGCAGGCACGAGAAGGAGGGCGCAGGCGGTCCTAGCGGGGCAGGTGAGCGCGGGCGGGCGAGTAGGTCCGGGCGCGCAGCATGGCGAGCAGGGCGAGCCTGCATGCGTGTCCGCGAGTGGGGGGACCAGAGGGAGCGCGTGGGAGACAGCCACCCGGCGTGGGGCTCGTCAAAGAGGCAGGGGTGCTGGAGCATTGCCGTTTTCTGCTAATCCATTTTGGCAGCTGGCAGGCCCAGCTGATAGCCGAGGGAGGTGCACTTTGCTAGCTGTCCGGCCGCACGTCCGCGGGTGTGCAGGGGCGAGTGCGCCGCATGGGCCACACGGGCGAGCACGCGCTGGGCAACGATAATGCTCTCATGAGCGGCGAGCGCGGCGCGGGCGTCAGACATGCGGGCGCTAGTATCTCCCGTGAATTATGTGTGACCCATGAAATGTGCTTTTTTTTTAGGAAATCGGAGCTTCATTAATCATGAAATGTGGACTTTTAACTCCCATTTGGTAATGATGCAGATTCTTGTAGAAATGTTTTAGATTCATGTTCTTTCAGAGCCATTTTAGCTGATGAATCAGAATCACTTTTACGGGACCATTTGGTTGATAGGGATTCTGATTTTAAAAATACATAAAAATTATATAAATAAAAATGCTTCAAATAAACCTAAGAATTATTTTTGTGGATGAAGAATAATCTAAATATGATCCATTTTAATTTGTTGCACTTAAAAGGATAAGTAGAAAAAATAGTCACCGGTGTACAGGAGAAACTAGATTGGATCACTGGTGTACAGGAGAAACTAGAAATGGAATCTCTCCGGTTTCCAGCTAGAATCGGAACGGATCTGGCTAGTCAACTGTGCCTCAATTTTAGCAGTGTATTTGTGTCGGATAATAACATTATTTAACCTGTTCATTTCGCTGAAATTTGACTGTTGCTGATGCTGATTCGTTGCGAGAGGAAAACATTATTCCTTCGTTGAAAAATTCTGCTGAAGTAGTGCTGAAAAACAGGGCGATTAAGCAAAAGTAGAAATGCCGTTTGGAATAAGGGTTATATATGTATAAACCATCAGACAGAAGTTTCACCCGAAATATGGATCACGTACGTAATAAAAGTAACAAAAGCAACCAAAGAAAACGTACGCAGCTACCTCACAGAACATGAACCAGCTACGCACTCGTCACACGTACAAGCATGCATGTGAGCATGTTTGCATGAAAACACGTACGTATAGGTACCTAGTAGCACTACGTACGTACGTTCCAGCAGCGACGTCATCACGCCCCGTTATTATTCATTGATCTAATACTAATATATAGGCTCACTAGCTAGCATTCTAGTAGCTAGCAAGGTACCTAGTGGTTACAGCGATTCACGACGGTTTGGCAAGTAGTGCCGTTGCCGTGCTGCTACTACGGGGAGTCGTCGGACGCCACCGGGGCAGCGTCGTCGTCGACGACGTGGACGCAGCAGTTCGGCAGCGGATGGCAGCATCCGGGAGGGTCCCGGCGGTCCGCGCCCACGGCAGCCGCCGCCGGGAGGACGCTGGCTCTCGGCACGGCCGCTGCGCCGGCGCTCATCTCGGCGCCGGAGATGAGGACTACGCACACGAGAGCAACGACTAGCAATTTGGAGACCTGCATGATGCTGCTTGTTTTATTTTCCGGGTTCTCAGCAAGATGGTCTCCCTTCTACAATCTACATAGATGATGCCTGCCTTTTATAGACGAATGTATGCTGACGAATGCTGATGATTCCAATACCTTTTGTAGAGGACGACGGGAGGCTTTTTCGTGCGATGGATTCAATAAATCACTTGGAACTTGCTTTGGAAGTGCGGACCTAGTTGGGATTCGGACAACGCACGGCGGCCGATCCGAGGTGCTCTGCTCCGAGCGAAAA